CCAGCTCGTAAGAGAAGAGCGGCTCGGACCCATGCTGTGTGTAGACCACAGGGCGCGGACGGGGGGCGCGCGACCCTCCAGCCGTCCTTCGGGGGCGGGATGGGAGTCGTGCTCGTGTGGATTGTATGCGGGGGAGGACGGGGCGGGATAACGTTAAGTCGGGCATGTCCCTCTACAGGAGGAATGTTCAAGCATAGTCAACAAAATAGTCAGGGGACGAATTTTTCCGACTATTTTGGACCATCTCTGAATATCTTTTTGATTTTTTCTCATTTTTCTTCCAAAATCCGCCTGTAGGAGGACATGCCCGACGTAAGAGTAGTATTCTTATTGATTGAACACGTTTGAGGGCGGGACATGATAACGGGAGGATAAGTGGGGGGAGGGGTGGGCCTCAAGCTCGATACAAGAGGGCAGCGACACGCTTTCTTGCGTATTCCCGTGGCCCGCCCAACACAGAAGCTCCACCCGAGACACAGCATGAGGACATACCATTACCATCTCAGTGACCGCCGCAGATAACGATCGCGTGCGCCCCATGCTTGGCCGCATGCAGGCAGTCTTGGTCGGCACTTTTGGGGTAGGGCCTTGCGACATCTGGCGAAACGGGAGAGACGCGACATGACTGGTAAACACTTGTTGTTGGACGAGATGGCGAGGATTGCCCACATAGTGTTGTGCGTGCTTGCTTCGGAATCACAGTTGAGCGTGCACAGAGGCTACATTCTTAATTTGACGAATGGGAGCGCTATGTGCAAATTGTATTGTCCAGTGCCCATGGGGTCACTGGGAGCTCCTGTGTCACATAAGGACCACGGGGCTGCGCGTGGTTCAGAGTCGCGCTCATTCTTGCAAAATGGCCCACAGCCGCATTCTGGTAGTTGCTAGCAACGTAACATCGAATTTGCACGGTGCTTGCAATGGATTGTGGAACGTGCCCGCCTATTCGGCCGTTGTATTTGCTACACGCCTGGTTCCGAATCGTGTTCTTCTTTTCATCCCAGAGGCATCTCCGAGGCCGGCGAAGCACGATCTGCAGTTCGAGTCTATTTTTTTGTTGGTTGGGTGGCTTTTATCCCCAGCACTGATGGGTTCTTGGTTTGAGCAGCGCATCGCGGGCGCAGCTTTCCTCCCGCCCCGTCCTCCCCGCTTCTTCTCTCTCCTACCTCTTGCCTGCCTCCTACCTTTTTTTTGTTTTTTTGTTTTTTTTTCCTCTCTCTCTGTCTCTCCTACCTCCTGCCTGCCTCCTACGTGCCTACCTCCCGTCTACCTGTCGCTGGGGGGCTGTGAAGTGGCAACCTATTGCCACCTTGGAGGACTGCGCGGGGGTCCAGCACCGCTGGGTTTTATTGGGATCTGGTTACTCCGAGTCTCTTCATAAGCGTCGGGGGGGCGCCACCCCCGCCGACAGCCCCACATCGACCCCCGTCGCGGGCAGCCACCGCGTGCCGACGGCGCTCCGACCCCCGCCGCAGCGCGACGACGAGGCGAGGTTGACCCCCGTCGGGGGGGTACCCCCCACGCTTGTTAAGAAACGTAGAGTTGACCCCACCATGCACGGGGGGCTGCGAAGTGTAAGCCTGTCGCCAGTTCCGAAGCTGGCTGGGGGTCCAGCATATTCGGGTCTTACGGGGACTCATATTCGACCTCGCCATGCCTGGTGGGGCTGCGACGTGTGAGCCTGTCGCCAGTTTTCGAGGATTGCTCGGGGGTCCAGCCTCGTGGGGTCCTGCGGGGATCTGGCATGACCTCGTCATGCCTCGGATCATGCGAAGTTCGAGCTTGTCGCCATTACCGAGGGCTGCTGGGGGGTTCCAGAACGAGGCCCTACGGGGGAATGATTAAACATCGTCGTGTCTGAGGGACTGTGAAGTGTAAAGCTGCCACCTATTTCGATGGCTGCTGAAAGGGGGGTCTAGCATGGTGGGGTTCTGCGGGGGCTGTTGGTGGTTCATAGCATAGTGGGGTCCTACGGAGATCTGATTCGCCACTTTCGAGGTTTGCTCTGGGCGTCCAGCACAGTGGGATCCTACGGGGCCTCATATTCGATCTCGTCATTTCTTTAGGGGGCTGCGAAATGTGAACATGTCTGAACTTTGGGTCCTACGCAGATCTGGTTAAGCCTCCCCATGATTGGGGGGCTACGAAGTGTGAGGTATCGCCGGTTTCAAAGGCAACGAATCGGCACAGTCGTTGTAGATTGGCTGGGTGCGTCGCAGGGTAAAGGCGACGTTTGGTGACGGCGGCCGCGGGGTTGGGCTTCGGAGCCCAATTTGCGCCCGCCATAAATACGTTGAATTTCGGAACAATTCATGGTCGGAAGGGGTTCGTGTTCATTAGGTTCTTCGATTGTTGTTCTTCTGGTGCTCGTCGTGCGCCCAGGCGCTTTTGGGCCAACTCTGAGGCGTCGCTCCATTATGCAACGTGCTTTCTGTCTGTAGCTTGACCGTATCTGTTCCTATCCTGTTTCCCTCGTATCGATGCGCAGAGGAAAAGGAACGAGGTCTTCCTCTGTGCTTGATGGTTCCTGTGGGTACTCTCTTCGCTCCTGCGCTGTGCCCCAGTCTCTCGGTGATGCTCTCGTTGCCCTCTCGCGCGGTGTTAGCAGTCCCAGCTACGAGCACAGCCCCGGCCACTCGACCTCGGAGGTGCCCAGCAGCGGCTCCAACGGCCACGCCCCCCATCCCGATCTATCCCTTCCCTTTTTCGCCCCCCCCCTCCCCGACTTGGGCGTCTTCCCTTTGTTGGAACGTTTATGGAAATGCCCTTTGTTTTACATTTGGCTTAACGACTGCGAGCTGGCGTCAGCACGAGACGGGCACGTCCATTGGCCAAACAGAGAAAGGAATACCCTTCCTCCTTTCCCCCTCCGCTCTCTCTTTCAGCCGAAGAGTGGCATGCTATTAGGGGGAGTTGTGTCGGTCAATCGTGGCTGAAGAACGCAGGGTTGCATGCGTTCTTCAGATGGCGGAGTAGACGCGGAATGGACGCACGGAGGGTTCTTTGTAGGGTCGTGGGAAGGGATGGGAACAATCAGGGAGTGCTCCATGCTACAAGTAGCGATGAACCGTGAGCGCAGCATCTTGCGTTTGTATTGTCTTGGTTTTGGCCAGGAGGTGCTGGTCATTGTAATGGAGTACTGCGATGCGGGCGATCTACGAAAGTTCATCAAGGAAAAGGCACGCAGCATGATTTAGTTTCTTTGGTGAAGCAGAATGTGATACAACACTGCCGGACACGAGCAGAGTCCAGGTTGGCACGGGGGTATGTTCCCAGCAATGTTGCTTGACTTCTTAACGCTTTGTGTATCCCCACCAACCCATAGGGGATCTGCTCTCATCAGGGGTGTGTGGCATCATGTGGATACGTCGAATAACTTCAGTGAGCTTGAGGCCTCCTGGATGTTTTTTTGGATTCGTGTAGGATGTCTCCTGGGTGGCTCTTGTTGGCCTTTTGGGGACTCCGGGGGCGTCTTGGGAGCCTCTTGGGGCCTCTTGGGGGCCTCTTGGGGGCCACTCAGGGGCCTCTCAAAAGCCTGTTGGGTTTTTTTTGACCTCTTGGGAGCCTTGGAGGCCTTTCTGGGACCATCTAGGATGGCATCGATCAAACAAGCGGGGTCCTTAATTAGTCCTGCCCCGCTAGGGCCCCTCGAGTCGCCTCGTGAGGCACTCTTGGGGCCTCTCTTGGGGGGGCGCTTTTGTGGCCGTCTTCGAGCCCGCTTGGGCCCCTCTTGGTTTTTTCTTGGGCCCTCTCGGAGCCATCTTGAGGCCTCGGAAATCCATCGTAATCGATTTGAAGGGACTCTGGCCTTCTGGAGGCTTTTTTGGGGGGCTCCGTAGCCACTTGAGGCCATGTTGGGAGTGTCTTGGGGGATCTTGCAGCATGTTGGAAACCATCTTAAGACATCTTGGGCTATCTGAGGCCTTCTGGTCAGCATCTTGGGCCATCTTGGACGTTCCAACGACCGACGACGCTCCAGCTTGGACGCTCCAACTCCCTCCAGACCCATGGAGAGAGGGTAGGGTGGCTCAAGCCAGACGTCCCTCAGGTAGTGACGGCGCCGCCGCTGTTCATGGCATGCTTCGGCGGCGACGCCATCGCGGACATCATCCGCGCGTCGGTGGCTGCGCCGGTGCAGGGCACCCTGCAGGCGCAGCAGGGGTAGCGGCTGCAGCAGCAGGGGCAACAACGGCCGCCCCTGCAGCAGCCGCACACACGGCCCGCGCCAAAGCCCGTGCTGTGTCTGCGCCCGAGCCGCGCGCCGTTCGCTGTCGAGCCGGAGGAGAAGCCAGAGCTCACGGGTGCTGCCGCGCCCGAGCCGCGCGCCGATCGCGGTGGCGCTGGCTGGGCTCGTCACGCCGAGGGCCTTTGCCGCTGCCTGCCAAACCACGGCCAGCGGCAGTGTCGGACATGTCCCCCTGCAGGAGGAATATGGAGAAGCAGTGCAAAAACAGTCTGGGGACGACTTTCCTCATATCTTTGCTACTGTTTTTTTGAGTATTGTCCTTTTTGTCGGGACTGTTTCTCATTTTCCTTCAAAGGTCCGCCTGCACGAGGTCCCTGCCCTTGCTGCTGCTTTCCACACGTGGCGCTGTGTGTAGCACGTCTCGGTTCCAATGCGAGCTGTTCTGGGCAAGGGGCCCCAGCCCCATCCGAAAGACATTGGAAGCATCGCGAGCAGGAAAGCGTAAAAAAAAAGTCCGCCTGTAGGAGGGCGTGCCCGACTTGACCCTGGGCGCTGGGCGCCGCCGCGGGCGGGGAGCCCGAGCTTGAGGTTCTCGGCCGCGGACGCGGCCGGGCGGGCGGCTCCCGACCCCGCTGCGCCTGTGCGGGGGGAGGCGCAGCCGCTTGCCTGGGGGCCCGTGGCGCCTGCAGGAGGACGTGCCCGACCTGACCCTGGGCGCTGGGCGCCGCCGCGGGCGGGGGAGCCCGAGCTGGAGGCTCTCGGCCGCGGGGGCGGCCGGGCGGGCGGCGCCCGACCCAGGCGGCGCCTGCGCGGGGGGAGGCGCAGCCGCTCGCCCGGGGGCCCGTGGCGCGGCTGCGGCGCTGGCAGCGCCGGGAGGCCCGGGCGGTCGCAAGCATGGATCCTCTTCCTCCTCTTCCTCCTCCTCTTCCTCCTCTTCCTCCTCCTCTTCCTCCTCTTCCTCCTCCTCCTCCTCCTCCTCCTCTTCTTCCTCCTCTTCCTCCTCTTCCTCTTCCTTCTCTTCTCCTCTTCCTCCTCTTCCTCCTCTTCCTCTTCCTCTTCCTCCTCTTCCTCCTCCTCCTCCTCCTCGTCCTCGTCCTCCTTTAAGACCGGCGCGGCGCAGGACGCCCCCATCCCGGCAGACTACTCGCTGGGCCACCCTGCCAGGAACGGTGCATCGCCGGCGACCTCCAGCAAGAGCGGCGCGCCGCAGGGCCACCAGGTCGAGCCGAGCGTCGAGCGCATCATGGTGCTCGCCGAGGTCAGGAAGAGAGGCACTTGTCGGGGGCGGAAAAGAGGGGGGTGATGACTAGGGGGGGGTGGATTTCATGGCGCGGGCCATGATTTTTCCTCAGATTTCATGGCGCCTCTTCTTATCTCATCACGTCCCAGGCCCCCCCGCGGGGCCGCGCACATGCCGCCGGTCATGATCTGCCCCCCCCCCCCTCTTGGACACCCCCCTCTCACGGCCGGCGCGGCGCCCGCCGGGCGCCCGCCCCGCCCCCCCGTGGGAGGCAGGGCGCCTCCCGCTCGCCGCCGCTCCGACGCCCACAGAGGAGGAGGAGGAGGAGGAGGAGGAGGAGGAGGAGGAGGAGGAGGAGGAGGAGGAGGAGGAGGAGGAGGAGGAGGAGGGAGGAGGAGGAGGAGGAGGAGGAGGAGGAGGAGGAGGGGGGGAGGAGAGGTGGGCCGGCCCTCGGCGCATTGCCCCGCTGCCGCGCGAAGCTGCCCCTGCGCGCCAGCGGGCCGAGGCCCGAGCGCCGCGGGGGCCCCGCGCGGCCCTGCGCCGCGGGAGGCGCGGCCCGAGCGCCAGGCCCGAGCGCTGCGCTCGGGCGCGGCCCGGCGGCAGCGGCGGCTCTGCAGGGGCGTGCCCTCCCTCCTCCTCCTCCTCCTCCTCCTCCTCCTCCTCCTCCTCCTCCTCCTCCTCCCTCCTCCTCTCCTCCTCCCCTCCTCCTCCCCCTCCTCCTCCTCCTCCTCCTCCTCTCCTCCCCCCTCCTCCCAGGGGGGGGCGCCCCCCCCGCGCTCTGCAGCCCCCCGCGGGCGGCTGCCCCGCCGTCGAGGCGGCGGCCCGCCCTCCCCGGGCGGCGCGGGGCGCCGGCTTCCCGGCCGCCCTCGGCCGTGGTCCGCGAGGCCGTGCTTCGCCGACGCGGCTGCGCGCTGCTGGTCTGGTGCTCCCCCCGCGGCGCGACCGCCGCCGCTCGCGTCTTCCCCCCCCCCCCCCTTCCCCCGAACTGTGCGGGGCTCTTCGGTCGCGCGTGCTGGCGCAGTGCTGCCGCGCCCGCGGGCTGCTGGCGCGCAGAAGGGCGCTGCGCAGCCCCTCTTGTTTCGGGGGTGGACAGAAACCCCAACAGTGACACGTCGATTAGTGGATTGTCCGTTTTCGGTTCTCGAGAGGGCGCCGCGGCCGTTATTTTCCAGGCTTGCGCCCGCCAGGTTTGGGCCTCAGGTCGTTTTCACTAAACCACGTTATACTGAAGGGGGTCTGTCCATCCCCGATTGTTCCCTTCTCGTGCTTCCGTTTTTCTTCCTTACCAGAGCGCCTCTTCGGGCAGGTTTCCCACGCACTCTGCAAGCCCTGTCTAGCGCCATTCGGCCAAGACGATATTTGCGCAGCCTGGTCCATGCACGTTCAGTTGTGCGCGGGTGCGCCCAGTGGTGGCGAGGGGGCAGGTGGAGATTTGGGAAAGTCGGACGAACAAAAAGGAGGGAGGGTATGGGGAGAAGGGAAAGGTAAACCTCTCCCCGAAAGGAAAGAAGGAGGTTGGAAGACGAAGCGCCCTGAGCCACCTGCGCCCTAAAAGGGTTGGTGGGATTTGAGAGTTTGGCTCTCGCGTCGCAGCCTTCTTGGATGTCCTCGTGCTGGGCGAGACGGGAGTATTGAGGCAGTTTGCTCTTGTCTTTTCGTAATGGTTGCGGCCGTGGTCGTCGCCATCAATTTCGCTGTTGGTCACTGTGGCTTGCTGCCATCCTCGTCAGTGTCGTCGATGCCATTCTTGCCATCAGTTTGTTCCTGTTGCGATCGTTCGTGCTTTCGGTGGTGATGCTCCCCTCGTCAAGTCCGTCGTCCCCGTCGTATTTGTATCAGCGGGGTTAGCTCTGGTGGGCGTGGCGGCTGCGTTCGTGGCTGTGGTCGTGCTAGTGTTTGGAAGCGTAGCTGCGTTTGCGGAAACTGTTATCGTCGCCGACATGGGAATTCGTGTTGGGCGCACGAGCTGTGGGTTCTTAGTTCTGTGAAGTCGCGAGTTTTTTTTGTGATTGCAGCGTGGGCCCCAACGCATTTTGTAAGGTCTATGCAGTGCAATGTAGGTGTCGTAGTCTAT